GCGCTGACGACCCAAGCAGTTTCGATAATTCATCGACGTAGAAAAGAAAAAGTTGGGGATCCAGGATGGTAACTTGGTGTACACCACTTTTGACCTACCTACCATTTATCCTTAAATAGTCTTCAGCCACAGAGGAAGTTCCTTGTCTGTTATTGCACAGCACATGTTATTCAAAAACCCAAGAGCTCCTGCATAAGTCTCAAGTGGCAGACCTTTTCAAATGCTTAGCTAAAATCTACGGATATCATGTCAAGAGGTAAACCATTATCTTAGGCTTTTGTCCAACCCTCTCCCAAAATCAGTAGGTTGGTTAAACATGATGCCTTTTCCGAAACTCATGTTACTCGGATGTTGACAGACCATGTGATTCTATGAAGCTTAGCAACTTAGCCTGAATTGTTTCTTCAAGTAACTTAATCCCTTTGCTGGTTAGACTGATAAGTCGGTGGTTAGACATGATCTGTCTCTATGCTCAAATACAGAGCTGATCATAACATCTTCCCAACTCCCACAGAGTCGGGCATAACAGAGAGACATGTGATTTGTTCCGAAAAGAGTGACAGTGCTAGTGGACCTAAGTCATCAAAAGCCAGTGACTTAATAGCTCGGAGATCGATAATCAATTGAAGAACAGTTTCCTCACTCACGTGTACGAATTCCATAACCGGTATCTCAGTGATGTGGTCATGGCAAGTAATGTTAACAATACTCGCGGAATACACTTAAATGAAGTAGTCTGATAGAAACTCAGCCTTGACGAGATTTCCGTCGGCTGATATACCTGAGTTTTCGTGCATGAATAATAGAGGGACGCCAGTACTACGCTTTGTTCTTCGTTTAGTATACGATAACAGTCGTTTTGGGTGCGTGCAGCTATCATGTGCCAGCCGTCCTTCCTAAGTTGTGCGGCAAATAGTTATAATCTCATTACATATATTTCCAATTTTTCGGTATCCACGCTTCAATGACTTGTGACCTGTAGATAAAAACAAGTCCCAGACGTCTTTTCTACGTCTCAGAAGCTTTCTAGTCTCCTTATCGATATATGTGGGCAATTTAATAGCCTCCAATTTGACCATGGGATAAATGGCAAAGTTACAGACACGAATGTGGTATCAAACTTATCCTAATCGTCTTAGGTCGATCCATCTGCAGAGACCGACCAATCTTTTGAGATAGCACAGACTCTGATTGCCAGAACGCTATCCCGCCAGATAATGAGATGATGTGGAGCAGATACACACTGCACACTAAGTATTCTGAACCTAAAGTATAGTAATAATAACCATAATAATATTTTATTCTCAAATAACAGTTTGTTTCATGAGGCACGCCAGTTTACAGGCAAGATCAAATCGTTACAGAAGTTACAGTTTTCACTGTAGTAAATTACTCAGCTGCGTTGATATTTTTTTAACATATGAATGTAAGTGATTTTACTAAGAAGCGTATTTTCAATATCAAGTCGGCATTTTTTTGAAGAAACAGCCAGACGCCGCCGCGCTTAGACTGGGTATTTAAAAATGAAGAATTTCTAGTCGACAACCTCACAATTCTGGCTCCCCATTATGTTCTTCAGTTTTGTCAGCAAAACTGAGCTAAGATATCCCACCAACAACAGGCTCTGGAATTCCAAACGGTTTAATGTGTCAGCTTTACAGGACTACCTACAACAGGTAGATTGAGATGTTCACCCTCAAGCTGAAGTGGATGCTCATTGGGATTTCTTACTGCACACGCTCTCATGTGCTACTAAGCATTCAGTTCCTCAAACGGTCCCAGAAAACTACAAGCAACCTACAACCATCAAAAACCGCACTCTTAGTTTGCTAAGCCGCAAAAGGCACCGTTGGGCTGGATACAAACTAACTGATAACAACAGCGCGTACAGGCAATACAAACATTTAGGGAACATATGCACAAAGGCAGTAGGAGAAGACAGGCTTCAGTACCAGACCAAGCTTATCGATAAATTTGTCTCCAATCCCAAAAGATTATTCCGTTACGCAGCTTCTCTTCGTTAAGCCAAAACTGGAGTTTTCCAACTGCTAGGTCCTAATGGTCCGACCACTAACGACGGCGATACACTCTCTGAATTTCTGGCCTTATCGGTTTTGACATGGTTGAAAAGTCATGCCAAGTGTTTGTAGCAAGCCCATTCAACTATTGTATTATTTGTATGTTCCCTGTAATTTGGACATTTAATCCACTTTGTAAATTTCTGTGTGAGTCTGATTGAGCGCATGAGTACGCATATCAATCTTTAATCTATTCTCTCACTAGTTGTAAACAAAGACAATCAATAATCTATCCACAACCATTTGACACTTATAAATATATGTGGATTTTTAACACACACACACCCACTTGTTTTTCCTGCGTGCTCGCCATATGTACGCTTGCGGATTTTACCAAACTTCAACAATAAATTATCTCTATAATTGGTGTTCAGGCTTTTGAATAATCCCGAGTAAACTCGTAATTCTACTAGGAGATTTAGCCTGCATTAAATATTCAGTTAGCCGGATATTATTTATTTATTGGAGTCCGATGTAGAGGAATTAGTCCTCTACAGGTTCTCGCTCACATGTTACATGTTGTTATGGGTTTTGGATGTCGTTATTCATCAGCTTATAACAGCATTTTTAAGGTCATACGTCAATATTCGTAAACTTTGTGCTTGTTACATAGCGTTTATTCCAGTCTATTAGTAGCTTGACGTATTTGTCGCTCACAACCTGGGTGAATGTTTAGTAGGCCTAATATGGTTATTGGCAACAATGCAAACTCAGGCAAGTGAAATTCATTTATCAGGTCAAAAATAAACCAAAATCAGAGTTTCAAGCAAAAATGAGCTCAAAAATTATTTACATATGACTCATCTCCCTAATTATGGTAGTGATGAACATGGATGTTGGCAGTTGTTTATAAAATGTAGGTTGGAGCAACTGAGCGTTAAACAATTTATGAATACCATATGGCTTGGCAATGTACAGCCGTAAACAGTTCTATCCGATATAAGTATAGTCGATTTCGACTGAACTGACATATTATTATGCAAGGTATCTGAGAAAGAAAAATTATATGACTAATAATTAACGTTGATAGCATTTTCTGCCCGCTTTCTAAACATTTACAGTCCGTTTATTTGTTGACTGCAGTTTGTTTGTTAACAACAAATAACTTGATGAAATTCTAGGAGGTTTAGAATATGAAGAGCACTGTTTATGACAAGTAAGACACTTATAGGTACGCCTTGTCAGCTGCTATTTTATTTACTTGTTAAATTTGATACTGATAATGAAGTTTAATAGTTTGTTTTACGACTAATTTGTTATTTTGCAGAATCTCATGAAGCTGAGAAGGTCCTCACACGTTTTCTGACATGCAATCTATGGCTTCTGTCAACTAATTGAAAGGCTCAAACCTTTCTGATAATCAAGTCTATGTCGGTGAACAACTTAGCGAATTTCTGAATATGGAAGATTATGCGGAGAAAACATTTACAAGTTGATTATAACCGTGTTTTATATTGACTACTGCCACGTTTATTCATCTAATGAATTATCTAAATATAAATATAACTGTACAGTTCTTTGCATCATAAATCTTGTTAGTATGTATAATTATAGTCTAGTTCGGTACTAATACTACTTTGATAATAGACCTAATCCGAAAACGGTGAGTTTATCATGTGATGATTGCTTACTCTGTAAGATCTTACGTGGAAGTCACATCACTATCTACACTGACTGATCGTATCGTGACAATTAAAAATGATACTTAATACTTCTGAAGAACATACTTATGCTGGGGATAGAATAATATATTTAATGTGAATAGTAATATGTTACACATAATGGGCACCTCTGCAAGGCTGAACCATGCCATCCGATTGAATGAATGTCTCCACGTCCACCACTGCCGACCTCTTCCAAGTGTCACATGTCGAATATGCATCTTTTCAGTCATCATATACTTGGCTTCGAAGACCATGTGGCTAGGAAACAATGCCTCCCAAGTATTCATTCAAATATACTGTCACAGTGAAGAAACTTGTGTAAACAATTTAACATCCTAGCGAAACATCCAAACTGATGCAGTACTACAGGTTTTCGTAACGAAACAGGTACTTATAAAGCAAACACGTATTAGTTTATTCTTAGTTTTCACAAATGGTTACGTTATGATTTTCGGTATATCTCCCCATGAAACTGCAAAGAAGACGAAAGTAAAAATTGGGCACAATTTTATTGACGTATCGTTACTATTTATACAGAAACAGCAACATTTTATGCAGAAAAATCAGTCTACAGGTTGAATATATAGTTACGTTAAAAAAACTACCACAAAGGATTTCTTATAGTAAACACTTCCTATCACGTCTCCACACTTTGTTGTATCCCGATCCGTATTTTCTATTTTTCATAAAGAATACTAAACAAAGACAAGCGTTAGAGAAAATAGAGTCTTACCTAGCTATTGATGATTCCTGAGTAAAAATTGGCTTCGCTGAATCTGTACATACTGTTTTCTTAGTCCGGGTAGTGAAGCTGTTGTCATTATGGGAGTTGTGAGTGTTATCTATCTCCCATCAACTGCATGAAATATATTATTTCTGTAGATTTAACTAGTATTTCAGAATTATTAACCAAAAAAACAAACCAGTAGGTCAGTATCTGAACCGATTTTGGATGACTCGCAAAAGTTTGTAGGCCGCAGCGTCCACTGGAAATGTTTTGACTCTCGGAAACAACACAAATAACCGTGTGGAGTCATTGAATCGTCAACCGAAAAGATACATACGCAAAAGCGATAGTTTGCATAAATGTATGTACAAGGTTTTCAAGTGGAATGCCATAACATCGGCAAGGAGAACTGTTGAAGAAACAGCAGATGCTGTAAGCACAATGCCTCACGACAACTACTTCCGTTGACACACGTAAGAAGGTGGACTCTTACAGGCAAGCTTAATCAATTACGAAATATAAACTGTATAGCTCATCATAGTCTTAGACAATGCAGCCGATGGAAGATTAATAATACACATGGCTTCTATTATAATACAACATCATTAACCAGACGGAGCGAACAGTATATACAGATTCAGCGAAGCCAAGGGATGCACAAACAACAGATTACTGAGAAATGTGGTGAACACTTCGCGATGATGGTGGTGAGGAAAGTCGGCAGTATTTACTTAAGAATCATCAATAACTAGGTAAGACTGCAATTTCCCAGACGCTTATCTTCGTGCAGTCCTCTTTACGATCAGAAATACGGTTCGCAATGTAACAAAGTGTGGAGGCGTGACAAGAACTGTTTACTGTAAAAAGTTCTTTGTATTTGTACTTTTAGCTTCCTTATATATACAACTTGTGAAGTTATCTTTCTGTATCGGATATTATTCTCTCTTTAGCAGTAGTAATGATGCATCAATAAACTTTTGCCCAAAACCTGATATTTGTGCAATCCAACGGACCCTCAGAATTTGAAATACGGAATAATCGCCTCTTGCCAGGTCGTTCAAGGTCGATAAAACGAAACGGCGGACGGCTTGGAAGGGCTCTAGCTTTGTTACCTTGCCAAGTGAGCTTGATTAGTACGTCTTGTGTTTTCTTGTCTACCTATTTTCACTGCCGCATGTATATTACGTTAAATTTTGGCTGAGCTTCGCACTCACATTAAGGTTGAAAAATGTCTCAGCCGAGATTTACCATCCCAGGCAACCGGCGAATGTGAAGTAAAGGAAAACAAGATGAAATAATGGGAGCATTCCGTTATAAAACAAAGGCCGGTGATCTGAAAAGTAATAGTAAAGAAACAGTGCGACATATTTCGTAGCTTTACTTCTGAATTGTCGCTTAATTGTCCACATTTCGCTAAAATATATGACGGCTTGTCTACTTCCTATCTTAATATACTCCAAGTTGTTTGCTTTGCGCCTAAAAACACGCTTATCTATCTAAGTTTTGAATCCATCTATGCAGAGTTCACTCATAATTCTATGCTCGTCAGCCCTAAATGTCTCCTAGCTTCTCTTTCTTTTGCATTACCAAGAAAATGTTTGAACAGTTTGCTGGATTAAAAAAGATAGGTTGGTAAATACATTTATTGACAGAAAGTAACATAATCTACAGAGAGGCTAATGATAAACGGATGTTTATCACACATTTTCTTTGTAAGTACCAAGTTCCACTGTCATTTGTGAAGAACTGCAAATTAGTTGCAAACAAAAGGTTATGCATTATTTATCGGGAACGTATTGTGATGATAAAGTGCTTATAAAATCAGACGCACTTTTATTACATACACTTAATTTGCCTCGACGTAGCACATTCAAGTTAGAAAGTAAGAGTTTGGTGAGAGAAAGCTTTGTTAGAAAATTAGGTTTAAAATGAAAATAAATTTGTTAACCTATCGAGGCCTGCTGCTCTCCCACACTTCAGATTTCTTACAGCTCTTTCAACGTCGTAAAAAGGTTGATGACTTACACTAACTTGCCATTCAGGACGACTGGGGCTTGTGGGGAACCGAAGCGTGACTGAAGGCCAGTTGAACTGATCCCTAAAGTATTCTGCCCTTCGATCAAATCTCCTGGATTAAGAATGAATAATATATCCATATTTTTCCGAGATAGTTTTGCTGACAGTTGGATTCCTAGTACCGGTTTCCTTGACAAGTATGAACAGTTGTCTGTTGTTATCTATTGCCGCCGCCTTTTCCATCTCTCTTGCTTTTCCTACCCACCACTGTTCGCGATCATTGCGTAGGCTTCTTAATAGCCTACGCTTGAGCTGACTTCTCTCTTCGTTATGTTCAGAGCCAGATGGGATAAGTCTTCGAGTATCTATCAGTACAGTAGACGCTGTTGAGATCCAACGTTTCTCCTTAACCTGGTACGGCCGAGAGTGGGGAGAGTCTACTCTCTCTCGAAATGCTCTCACATGGCCAGCGAATATATAGCCTCTGCCAGGGAAGTCCTACTCACTGCCTTCTCGTGGCGGGGGTGTTGTTTACGAAAGTGAGAGGACGAAAAGCGAATGTTCGGCGCTATAACCGGATTGGTGGACACGGAGGGTCCACCTAGGGGAGTTGGAAAACCCTGATTCCAAACCAATGGTGCACATGGGCTCCAGTATCCTGATGGAACGAATGGCGGAAGAACCTGCTGTTGGTCAACGGCAACCATGGGACTGCATCTCCTCACGATGCTCCACTGCCTTGTGGATCAGACCTTTAGGTCAAAGGCTCGGGGTGTGGTCCCCTAAGAAAACCACCTGCTTCGGTTTGGGCACCCGGGCAGTATCACAGCCCACACACAAACAAATGAATGAAATTATGAACTTTATTGACGATATCCCTGGTCATACTAAAAGCAAAACAATTAACATTATTATTATTATTATTATTATTATTATTATTATTATTATTATTATTATTATTATTACTTACCATATCGCTAATTCACCCCCTTTTATCCCCAATTTGTGTAACCTTACTCTTCAACTTATGCAGCAGCTCGCTCTTGGTGGAAAATCTGTCCTATCTAAACGATCTCCAGTCACTGTCTGGTTGAAAGTGAATGCTTCCACCGATTATGAATACTGAGGCAGTCTTTCTGAAACCACGTACGCCGTTCAAGCTGGCTTCCTTCAACGTTCGCACACTAATGCAGATCAGACAACAGATAGGGCTGGCTATGTCTTTGGAAGGTCTTAATGTTGACGTTTGTTGTCTATCCGAGACCCGTATTCAAGACTCTAGTGAAGTACTACAAATCCGCTCTCCATCTGTCGCCTCGAAAAGCTTGTTCCACGTGCGCTTATCCGGGGACCCTGTGGCATCTTCGTCTGGTCTTGCTGGCGTTGGTGTCGCACTAAGCGCTAGAGCTGAGGCAGCACTAATCGATTGGATCCCCATTAACAGTCGGTTATGTGCTGTTAGATTAGAAAGTTCCATCAAAGTGAGAAGAAATCGGCGTGAGAAACGGTGTCTTTTCGTCATCTCGGCCTATGCCCCGACAGATTGCAGCCCGGATGCAATCAAGGATGAGTTTTACCATCAGTTAACAGTTCTCCAGAAAGCGCGTTCGACAGATATTGTAGTACTAGCCGGAGACTTGAATGCACAGGTCGGGCGTCTAGGTGGCCGATGGGGACTTGTTGGTCGCAGGACAGATAACGGGGACCGTTTGCTGCAACTGTGCACAGACCACAACCTGTTTCTGGCCAGCACTAACTTCCGGCACAGTCATCGCCGGTGTGCCACCTGGCGTCCTCCCTCTGCATCCCAAGCCTGGACTCAGATTGATCACATCGCGATCAGCTACCGCTGGCGTGGTTGTGTACAAGACTGCCGCTCCTTTTGGAGTACCTATCTGGAGTCTGATCATGCCCTGGTCTGCGCCAATCTCACCTTACTTTTCAGTGGCCGAAGGATTGACCACCACCAACGGATTGATATTAGTAAACTGGCTGCAACTTCTGTTGCAAGTAAGTATCGAGCGGAGCTAGCCTCTAGGCTAGCTACCACCCCACCGAAAAGTATAGGTAAGCATTGGTTGCATCTTCATGACGCCATGAAAATGGCGAGTAAAGCCGCTTGCGGCTTCGCGAAACGTCCCGCTTACAAGCACTGGGTTTCTTCTGGCTCCTTACAATTGATCGAAGCCCGTCGGTCTACTCCGGGTGACCGTGAGTTTGACCACAAACGAAGGCTGTTACGTAATGAAATCGGGCAAAGCTTGTGTAAGGACCGGGAAGCCTGGTGGTCGGAGCGTGCTAATGAGATGGAAGCAGCAGCTGCATCTGGTAACTGCCGGAAGCTCTTCCAACTCATCCGAGCCACTGGCAGCAAGAAGTCTGGTGTGAGTGAAACAATCTACGAGGATGACGGGATGCCAATCACTAATATCTGTCGACGTCTTGGACGATGGGCGGAATTTTTCGAAGGGCAGTTCAACTGACCTGCTGCTCCGGCAACATCAACCAGCTTGTCCTGCTCCCCATGGCCGGTGACGACTGATCCACCAAACGAGGCGGAAGTCCGCAAGGAACTCCAACTCTTGAAACGTTATAAATCACCTGGCCCAGATGACTTACCTCCGGCTCTTTTTAAAGATGGTGGTGACTTTCTGGCTAAGGAACTGACTGCGTTGTTTGGAAAGGTTTGGGAGCAAGAAAGTGTTCCAACATTTTGGAATGAGTCAATAGTCGTCCCTATCTTTAAAAAGGGTTCACGTTGTTCCTGTAGCAACTATCGGGGGATAAGTCTACTTTCGATCGCGTCCAAACTATTGGCTTCTATCATTCTTCGTAGGTTGTTTAAAACCCGAGAACGATTGACTCGCGAGGAGCAGGCTGGTTTTCGTTCTGGTCGAGGATGCATTGATCACATCTTCACCCTCCGCCAAATGTTAGAACACCGTCATACTTATCGCAGGCCAACAATCGTAGTGTTTCTTGATATCAGGGCTGCCTTCGATTCGTTGGACAGGACTGTTCTCTGGGATTGTCTATTGAAGAAGGGTGTGCCTGAGAAGTTCATTAACATCTTAAAAGCCCTGTATACGAACACCTCAGGCAGAGTGAGGGCATACAACCACCTTTCTCCCTTGTTCCATTCGAGCAGTGGGGTTAGGCAGGGTTGCCCGATCTCCCCATTCCTCTTCAACTTTGCCATCGACGACATCCTAGAAACAGCTCTGATGGATGTAAGTAATGGCGGTGTGGATATGTTGCCTGGAGAACGACTTCTCGACCTCGAGTATGCGGATGATATTGTCTTACTGTGCGATAATGCCCAAGGCATGCAATCAGCACTTAATCAGTTGGCAATCAGTGTCCGCAGGTACGGCATGTGCTTTGCACCCTCCAAGTGCAAAGTACTTCTACAAGACTGGCAGGATTCTCATCCTGTACTCACCCTGGATGGTGAGGAGATCGAAGTAGTTGAGAAGTTCGTGTATCTAGGTAGCTATATAAGTGCTGGTGGTGGCGTGAGTGATGAGATTGATGCACGTTTAATGAAAGCCAGAGCGGCTTATGCCAATCTGGGCCATCTTTGGCGCCTTCGTGATGTTAGTCTGGCTGTAAAAGGTCGGATCTACAACGCGTCGGTGAGAGCAGTTTTGCTCTATGCTTGTGAAACCTGGCCTCTCCGAGTTGAGGATGTTAGACGTCTCTCTGTGTTCGATCATCGTTGTCTCCGAAGGATTGCTGACATCCAGTGGCAACACCATGTTAGTAATGCAGAGGTTCGGCATCGTGTGTTCGGGCGCAGAGACGATAATTCAATTGGTGTCACCATCTTGAAACACCGACTTCGGTGGCTCGGACATGTTTTACGAATGTCGTCCCAGAGACTTCCGCGTCGTGCATTATTTGCCGACCCTGGGACTGGTTGGAGAAAGCGGAGAGGAGGTCAGTGTATGACATGGTGTCGTGGCATGAAAGAGAGCTGCAAAGGGCTAGCTTCCGTTGGTCCTTCACGACTCCCTGGTTGGGGTCCGAGAGATAGTGCAACACAGTGGCTAGAGACGTTATCGGATATGGCTCAGAATAGAAGCCAGTGGCGATCCTGCTGCAACCTTCTTTTACTTTCTACATAAAGAATGGTTCTAACTTTCCTAACTGAAAGAATCTTCTGGTTGTACATTTCAGCCCGCCTTATCTTTTCATCCTTTATCTACCTACTTTCATTATTTTGTGTGGCGCATATGTACATGGTGCCCTTTTGTACCAATATATATGTGTTTAAATAAATAAATAAATAAAACTTAACCTTATGATTTACCGCACTAGCAGATATCACTGCTGTTTCCACAGGTTTTCGGATGTCATTCCACGCTGCCTCGGGGTGGGCACGGCTTACAAGGCTGCCCAACTGTTTTTCTAGTTGTTCCTGAGATATATTCTTAGCTTGCCTATCATTAAATAGAACCCTAAAAGGTTTCCTTACAATGTCTTTCTTACGTCCAGTAAGACGCAGACAGATACGTGCTCGCACTAGAACATGATCTGAATCTTAACATGTGCTCCAGAATGAGCGACAGTCTTCTGTCGAGCTCCTCCATCGGTGGCTGATAGCTATCTGATCCAGTTGGGTCCAACTTTGGGACGAATTTGGGGGTCTTTATGTCAAAAGATGTTTTTCCTTGTGCTTAAAGTTAGTATTCGCTTAAAACAGACGGTTATCTGAGCATAGCTGCAACAGACAGTCGCCATAATCTTTTCTTTGAGCCACAACACCATAAGAATCACCTAGGTGTCTTTCCCTTTCGCTTAGTTTACCTACTTTAGCATTAAAGTCACCAGCCTCTGTTACTACATCAGAACGCCTAGCTTTTCGGAGAAGATCGGAAAGCTTTCTGTAAAACTCATCTTTTATATCATCTGAGCTGCAGTCACTGGGAGAGTAGGCAGAGACGACGAAGAGGCAACGACGAGTGTCTATCTTTCCGAACCCTTACTGTTCCGTCTAGTGGACAGCGCACAGACAACTGTCTACTGGGATCCAGTCTAAAAGAGCTAGTTCTGCCCTGGGACTTAATGCTATATCCACGCCTCCGAGGCCACGGGAAGCAGCATCAGAGCTTCCAGATACACAAAGCGTGAATCGAGTCGGTTCTTTATTATAACGTGGTGAGGTTAAATTAATGACGCTACTCGGATCCTGTATGCGCGTTTCGGAGACGCAGCACACATCGATGGTGCGAGATTCTAAAGTCCTAGCTAAGGAAGCCTGTTGTCCTATTTGGCACAATGTTCGGGCGTTAAGAGTTCCTACATGTAGTTTAGAGCGTTGTTTCAGGAGACCAGGAATAACATTCCATGTACTCGAATCGTTTGCCCTAGCGGTGCTAGTGATAAAAGGACGTGAGAAGGGTTAGTCGTGGAGATAAGAGAGTTATTAGGAGGTGTAAGAAGGATTTGAATGTGAACAACTTGGTCTCGTGTGTTGTTACAGGTATGAGGGCTGATATCACTTCCCGGCTGCCCACACTGTGGAAGGGTATTTCTTGAGGGATCTGAAAAGGAAGTTGGATTAATGTTGGTCTTAACAACTTGGGAGCGTGACCGCAGGGCCCAAGGAACAACTGCTTGAGGCCGGTCGCGCACGGCCTTTTTGTGGAGGGTTTTTGACGTATTAGCTCCGTTCTTCAAAAAGCCTCACCTATTGAGACGGAAATTCGTGAGGCAAGGTGAGACGTGACATTTTTGGGATCGACCTTTTCTAACCCTTTCCTTCCTTGTGAGAAGGCAGCATCACTGCAGATGCTGGTTGTCTTATAGCAACCATCCTACAATCACTTTCGATTATAGCCAATTTTGGTTAAGCCCTTTTTTATAACTTACTTAACAGACATCGTCATTTGGATAGTAACAATTTGCATATTCTTTGAACTGCTATACCACTAGAGCACATGACACTCTAGCCGAAATGTTGACTGCTTAAATATTATTCGATGACTCATACTCCTCCCCATATATGTACGCACACAAATATTATTATCAGCCTTTGTTTTGCTTTGCTGTGCCCTTATTAAATTTGACTATAAATTTCCTATGTAATTGCTTGCTATTTGCTCGCTCGCTCGCTTGCTCCTCGTTCGTTTCCTTCGCTTGTTTGCCTGTTCACTCGCTCGTTCATATTCGCTCAGGTGTTGTTAGCTTTCGAACCTGAGTTATTCGACAATAAACTGTAGTTGCTGCTATCCTTTGTCTTCTGATTTTACGCACCGTTAAGTTTAGAATTATAACGGTTATCGAAGTAAATGGTTAACGAATCGCGGCACTACAGTCTGAGGGAAACACTTTACTGCTGTCACACCCCTCTGCAGCCAGGGGTACGAATTCGCCCTCGGACCTTGAGTTACTGCTTTTAGTCTAACCGTTCTCCAATCGACCTGTCTGGCATGCAGAACCTACAGGAATATGTGTTCCAGCTAATACAGTTCGGTTGGGTTATCACGATAGGCAAGCCCAAACACCACGTCAAGGTAGCAGCTACGGTACATAAACCTTGTGAAGGCTCTTTACTCAAACACTACTAGTCGAGTCAGAGCTTATGGCGAGCTGTCATCTAACTTTGAAACGTGAAGTGATGTCCGTCAAGGCTATCAACTATCCCCATTTTTGTTCAACTTCATAGACATACTGATGGACGCAACGTTCTATTAGACTGAATTTTCAGGAATTGATCTCCTACCAAGAGGTCCACATATCGACTTAGAATACACAGATGATATAGTCCTGTTTGGTGAAGACGCTGACAAAATTTAGAGTCTTTTGTTAGAACTGAGTAATAATGCCTGAATGTTTGGGACGCGTTTCTCCCCCTCTAAATGCAAGCTGTCGCTCCAGGATTGGCCTACGTCAACACCTGAACTAAAAATAGTGAGTGAAGTAGTCGAACGTGTCGACAACTCCACTTATCTTGGAAGTCTGGTCAGCCCTAGTGGGTTGGTGTCTGACGAAATCTCGACACGGATTCAAAAAGTTCGTTTGGCTTTTGCCAACTTACGTCACCTATGACGAAGACGAGATATCCGTCTATCAATTAAGGGACGAGTATACTGCACAGCAGTTCGTTCTGTTCTACTTTACGGCTGCGAAACGTGGTCATTAAGAGTAGAAGATACTAGTAATTGACCACAGATGCCTTAGAAATATTGCTCGCATTTGCTGGGATCACCGGGTAAGTAATAGTAAGGTTAGACACAGGGTATTAGGGAATGATGGTAAATCAGTTGATGAGGTCATGAAACTTCATCAACTGAGATGGTTGGGCCACGTGTTATGTATGCCTGAACACTGATTACAACGACGCGCAATACTGACTAGTATTGGCGATGGTTAGAAGAGAGTTAGGGGCGGTCAAACCTAAACATGGCATCAGTCCTTGAAGTCACTAACTTCTGGTCTGAGCCATGTTGGTAGATGCAGACTACCTGGTTGGGGTCCGCGTGACTATTGTAACCAATGGTTGGAGACCCTGGGTGACATGGCTCAGAATCGATCATAATGGCGTAGGTGTATACACTCTTTATCTTCCCTTAAACCATGGGATTAAAATTACTTTATACCTTTCTACAAACTAATTTTTCCTCCCTGTATCATATCCTTATATGAAGTGTGTTATTTTACTACCATTGAAGTAACTGCTCCTATTAATTTGGTATTCATCTTGTTGTGTTAATGAGGTATGGCAACTTGGACTGATGCATATATGTGCTTGGTTCCACGTTGTAGCTGACTGACTCAACTACCTACTAGGAAGCTTCATGTTATTAGTGAAATGTATTTATTGTCAAACGTCAGGTATAAGGTAATGCAAACACCAAGGCGCTTAGATATCCATTTCGTGAAATCCTAAAGCATTCAAATAAAATTTAAAGGATGTAGAACAACGGATAGTTAATTTATTCACGGCTCAGTGGTTGTGTGCAAGATATGAATCACTGACTAGTACATAAATAAATCTTTAATCGTACACTCTTCCTGGATCAAGCAATATCAGTTTTTTCTCCTTATCCACTTAGAAAGTAACTAATGTCCGCAGTTATAACAAAGCAACAGTACCAGTATTTCGACAAGTCATTATATATTGTAAATACATTTTTCTTTTTAAATTAAAAGAATACTTATACTCTACTAGTTTCTATTGTCTTCCGTGTTGAGGTGATTTAAACCATTCAACACTATTGTTTGTTATGAAGCATCTGGTACTAGTATTTTGTGGACTTTCAACTGTTGAATCATGAATTTAAATTTTCTACCACTTATTAGGACTTGATTGCTACATAGCTTTTTAGCAACTATAATCTGTTAAGCTAATTTATGTGATTACTGAGTTACATTTTAACTGGTTATTCTTTCTAAAAAATATTTTATAGGTAACTAATATATTTATTGTGTTTGGGAATCAAACATTTACTTATCGTGCTTTCATTTTCTCTAGATTTCGGATTTATTCGACCCATTGTGGACCAGTACATTTTCAGTTACTATTATTGACTTCCTAACTACTGTTTAGCAAGTATGCTAATTGTTATTAACTCTTTTTTTCCACATGTTTAGGTTGAGTAATGACAGTTTCGTCGATAGTAGAGCATAATCACTACATATGTAGTCGATTTCAAGTCACGCCTAATTCATTCAGCTTTAATCGTCAATATACGCAAATCTATTTGGCACGTCTGACTGCAGCCAAGCCAGTGTTGAAAACGTTGGCTGAACAGAGATGGTCAACTTCATCTACAAAGTCCGAGGTTTCGTATATCCCCGTTCGAACATTAGCTGACCTGAATGGAGATGAAAAATGCATAATAATCGGCACACTTTTCAAGGTACAAGTTTGCTTTCGAAAATTCCCACTATCACTTATTGTACTTTAGAAGCGTAGATCTTTCATTATCATTCCTCTCAATGTTATTTTTATGCAAAGTATTCATTGCTTATTTCCGTCAGTAATCTGTGGAGGAATCTAATACTGACCGAAGCAGTAATCAAGTACAGGTTTATAAACTTAACCTTGAGACACAATATGACGACTTACGATTCTGCTTGGGTACTAAGTCAAAGTATTTTGTGGAATTCGAATGTACAACCCCGATGGTTGAAGGAGGGAGATGTGGACTGAAAGTTTTCTCTGTTTATCCAGTCCGTGACTAGCTAGAATCGTCCACAATGGCGCAGGTGCATACACTCACACTCTTCTTCAGTTACTGAATCCCGAAATATCCTTATACGTTTTTTCTTGATTTCTTTACACACAATATTTTCTACTAGCCAGTACTTCCAAGTGCTGTTACTAATTCTATTACTCTGGGATGTCTTGATTATTTTATCTCTCAGTGCTAATGGGGTGTGGGAACTTGAGCTGATGCACAAACGTATCTGGTTTTACGTAATGTATAACTGAATAACAGAAAAATTTAAGGAGCAGATGACTGATTGTAATTAACATATATTATCACATACTGCTAACAACGGAACATAGAATCAAGGCTAATAAAGAATTGTTAGTTTTTTCTTTTCCCATTCAGAGGTAAAAGAATTGTTTTGTAGTAGATTGGTTCTTTGTTGATTCATTTTATAACTGCTATACTACTACGAACATCTTATTAAACAGTTTGATAATACTACTGAATAATTGGATAGTTTCACGAACTAGACGGCAAGAATAAAATTTATTACGTATAGAATAACTGCATTACGTTGTTACTCAGTTCGAAAAATATGGAATAATTTTGTAAGCTTTAAGTATAAAGCTGCTAGCCGAGTATCCAGACAAATAGGTAAAACCTTACTTGTTTTCATTCACTGATATGGAGTTCAGAATGTAACTATCATAAGGTGTTAAGTCTAGTATTAAAAGTTTTATGGTTTATTTTCGCACCCACTTTTTGAATTTATGATTATTTCTATAATTTTGGTTAGTGATTATAAATATCGACAAGGAATATCAAGCAAAAAGGATTTTCTTTTTTCAATAAACGGTTATGTTTATTTCACGGTAAGTATTAAAGTACCACTTAAGTAATAGTAGATCGTTAAAGGACTTAATTTTATTTCAACTGTCTACCGAAACATTTTTTGTTTTCATTCTAGGAAATGCGTTTAAAACCTAGTGTACTACATGATATTGCAGCGGTAGAAATTGAAAATATTGAATCAGATATTCGCATTTCTTCAACTGATACTCAATCTTTGGTTCATCTCACATCAGACGATGATGTACTTTTTCTTGAAGACGAAGTACAACGTATTGCTTTGAGTTTTTGTAGTCAGATTCCAAAACTCTGGTCTCCAGCTAATCTGGTTACAGGAGTTGTAGTTGCAGCTTTTGGTTACGAGCCTGAATCTCAACCTGGTAATTTCATAATATGCTCTATGTTCATGAATACCTTTACTCATTTTTCATGTTCATTCTGATGATTGATGTAAACAATCACAGAATTTATTCAAGTGATTTTCAGCATTTATCGGATCACAAACTGGTGAGCACTCTACACATCTTCATCATTGTTATTTAAGTAAATGTATAAAACAAAGCAAATTCCTAGTTACTATCTGCGAATCAATTTGCATGTTTTCTAAAAAGTTCAACAAATATAATTTATGAGCAAACAGGCTGCATTTTCCAAGGACGACTCTTAGTTCAGCATAATTTCCACGTTTTAGACATAAATTTTCTCCTTCCAACGATGATAGTCAAATTAGTAATTTTGTTTATTTCTTTATCGTTGCTCTAGGATTCGAAAAACTGGTTGTACATTAAAATTCGTAATCTTATTTATTCAGGAAATGTGTTATCAAAATTGAGCTTTATTTCTAGTATAAATATTTCACTTATATTAACGTTTTACGTTGAGCTACGAAAAATATTCTTTAACTCTTACAGCTTTGAAGAGTATCTACAATATTCAGCTAACAAAATGCATAATTTACTTTTTATTTAAGTCATTTCATTATTAAACATTTGTAGAAATTAATCATACTCATACATATTGTAAATAACTATTTTGCGAAGGCAAAAGTACATGTAATTTCTTCAATGAAACAAGTGATTTTTTGTGATCCAGTTTGTTTATGTAGTGTGAACATATTAACTTACAGTGAATTTTATTTTCCAAATACTTCAGAATGCCACAGAACATAAGTGAATATTCTTCAGATGTAAGATATGCATGTATTATAACTACATTACTTATAAGTAACTAAAATTTATTCCCTCGATTGTATTTCATTAATCAATCGTAAAGTATCTTATTGGTCGACACAATGAACCAATCATTTTTGTATCTGTATGCGTTAAGATTCGATTGTTGCTGCTGTTGAATTAATTTCTTTGAATTTGAGTTTAGCATTTACCGATTATTATTTGTTTTAGAACTACATAGTACTTATGCATATTCATACATAAATATTGGAAGAGCCTAAGACAATCTTTTGATTGACTTGACCACAATTGAGTTGTTCCGACAAATATAAAACTCATGTACCTGAAGAACATATTACTATCTATGTTAAATACCTCTTGTTATAAAGGAGAAATGATCGATAGACGAGATGCAATAATACAATATGACCGAATGATAATTGTTCACGAACCTGAATCGTTCACAAAAACTCGTGAATGAAATGAGATCAAAGACACGACCGTCAACCAAAATAATAGGTTCCTTTAGTAAAATGATATGCTTTAATCTCATGAACGGTTGGAGAGTATCAGTTTTGTTGGTTACTTACCATTGAAGTAGGTGTAACTATTAGGCTTAATTATTGCCTATCATATCATTTTTTAATTTTGAATGAAGTTTAAGATAATATTTGGGCACGAAGTCTGTTTTTATGGATCACAATCCAATAATTCTACTCTCTTGAATCATAGAACACGTCACCCTAAAGAGAAATAAAAACTTTACCCCGAGAAATTCATTCCTGAAACATGATTTCCATCCTATCTATAGCTTTTATAATGAAGTATAAACATCACTAATGCAGCTCCAAAAATAGTGGCAAAGTTGTAACAGCTGCTAAAAACTTCCTTCATTTACAAAACCGTCAACCCATGTCACAACAGTTGGAAATCATACATCAGATCATTCACGAGTTTCGTCTGTGAACGTAATTGTAGTAATACATACCTTGAGTACATGAGCACTAGATAGCAATGCGTCTTTCATAATGTACTCGAGTTTTCAACACCCATTGTGGAAGGTACCAGAAAAGAGTATCATTAGTGACATAATGGGATGATGTAAATCTCCCCTCATATACAAGCTTTTCCGTACACTGTGCTTCTGCCTGTTAGATGAAATGGTCAATAAATATTAGGGGACTGTATCTACGTGACCCTCTTCGTCTCTTTCCATCTCAATAAAGTAGTAAAAAGTTCGGACAGCATTAGTATGAGTGATATAAGATAAATGTTGGTTGAAAGTTACACTTATATCCATTCAATATTATTAATAATTTACTACCTAAATCCATTGTTTCCTAATCTTAGGTTGATTGATACCAGTGCTTGGTATCTCATTTCAAGACAGCGGATTATTTGGTGGTCATGCACCATTTACATAATGTTTGGGCTACAAGCATTCTGAGATCTAAAAATTTTACGCAGTTACCTATTAATTCTGTAGATGAATCGGGGTTTGATTAAATGAATCAATAACTGCCTCAAATTTCTCAACACTAACATCTGTTTTCAATTCACTATATTTGTAGCAAGATAATGCAAACATTTCATTTAGTACATTGCAATAAAAATAGTTTACTCAGCTTTGCTTTCTTAAGAAATATCAACTAATGACATAATCTAATTTGATTTCAAAATTATTTAAAATCATTAAAAATACCATTTTTGTTAATAATCACAGGTTCTTTCTGCGTTGAAGACATGCTGTTCTTAGAACCTCAACCTGAAAAACCTATTTATGTTCAAGAAATTTCCCATATTGACGTTAATACAACAGATTTTCGCAACTCTGGACCTTGGGTTGGTGTTGTTAGTGCCTTAGGTTTTGCAGGTAGTGGCCAAGTAAAACCGGGACATTCAATAGCTCTTCAACTTCTTGCCGATTGGATACGTTGTGCTGGAGACTTCTATGGTTCATCAGAGTCACACACTGATTCTGGTTTGATACATCTTCTGATTTTAGGTGATTCAATTCAAGCATCAAAATCAAGTATAGATAATGATAGTGATAAGTGTACCCCAGCTGTACGTCTTACACAGCGTGTAAGTTTGAAAAGTCATTTACTTTCATTTGATATCAAGTACGTTATCTACACGTCTATCCGAGCGAAATATTTACGAGTTCAAGAATTTTAAAGTATGGATTACCTTTGAAATAACAGCACCGAATTCAGTGTACTCATCAGTAAAGACGGATAGTGCAGCTAGCATGGAGTCAGGGAGCTTTTATCCTTGTAGCATAAATAACACAATATGTATTCAAATAGTCGGGATGCGATTTCAAAATTAGAAAATCTATATGTATTTATTAAAAAATATGAAACTCACAGAATCCGATATGCACTAGCGCGTAATGGGTTATCAAAACGATGTTAACTAGATATCTTGTAAACGAGACTTAATAATTATCATAGGACCGATATTGGACGGCCATTTAAAACCCGGAAGCATTGTACAGCTGTTACACTCTGGTATGGAACTCTTCAGCAGTGCGCACCCGCGATTCCACTGGGGACCTCCAGATCTCACGGCGAGTACCTAACCTCAAAGTCGCTGAGCCGGCGTCAAATAATTTGCACTTTTGACTCCGATCAATTCGCAACATTACGCAACTATTTTCTATGAGCAACTGTCTCCTCCGACATGACTGAACTCCACTGATCATGGCTTCTCACTAGGACTATAAAATTGTACAAAATTGCGAATCAATTGCAGTTAGGCGTGTAAACATTATTTATCCACTGATTTTCAGTATATTGTCTAGATAACAACGTGCTTTTCGTTATATTTAAAAGTTCTCAGCTGATAAAAGGTGATATGCTAAAAAACATATCTTTGGTTTTTATAGGTTCTTCCTAAGGATTTTCTTGATGACAATTGCCTTCGTACATTTCTTGTCAAATGTTTATACCCATCATCCATTTTCTATTTTCGCTAGTGTAATTACTGTCAGTATGGTAGTGCAAGTCACATAGTACTGAGCAAATATCGACTAGTTTTCCTTGTTTTGGAAATCATCGCAAAGACAGGAAACAAATTGAAATCTAGTCGATATTTTATGTGTTAACTTTCGAGCTAATTGTCTTCCTATTCAGGCTCGCTACTTAACTCGTAATGCCGATGCAGAAACTGTGACCGCTATGGCTCGTTTTGATCAGTGGTTAGCCAGTCTTCCTATAGGATCAGGTTGTAAAGATAATGGCACAGATTTTAATGGTATATCGATAGATTTGTTGCCGGGACCATCTGATCCTACTTCAGTCCTCATGCCACAACAACCGATTCATTCAGCCGCCTTACCCTGTGCTGTTTCTCGTTCTGGTGGTGTTGGAAGTGGAAACTTATGTGGTCGAACAAATCCTTATAGTTTTATGTTGAGAAATCGAAGTATTCTGGCTACTTCTGGTCAGGGTGTAAATGAGTTATACAGGTAAGACTTTCTCGTTCAGTTGTATAACACACTACTACTCATATATACGTGTAAGAAACAATTATTTAATTATCAATGATATTAGTGGTTTTTATTCTATATATTTCCAGGAAATGGCTGGTATAGTTAACCTCCCTACTTAGGCTGGAAATAATGTACGGGTCTGAATTATGAAAGATTATTTTCCAATTGGCAGAAGACAAACAACAAGCATACTTAGTTACTTACTCCTGGCCAACGACCAGCATTCTCCAACCCACTCTGTCCTGGGCCTTCCTTTCTAGTTCTATCCAATTTTTGTTCATTCTTCTCATGTCTGTCTCCATTTCTCGGCGTAATGTGTTCCTTGGTCTTCCACTTTTTCTTTGACCTTCAAGACTCCATGTGAGGGCTTGCATTGTGACGCAGTTGGGTGATTTCCTCAATGTGTGTCCTATACACTTCCAGCTCTTTTTCTTGATTTCTTCCTCCGCTGAAATCTGGTTTGTTCTCTCCCACAGTAGAATGTTGCTGATAGTGTCTGGCCAACGGATGCGAAGTATCTTGCGTAAACAACTGTTAATAAACACTTGTGTCTTCTGGATGATGATTTTCGTAGTTCTCCAGGTTTCCGCCCCATACAATAGAACTGTGTTGACATTTGTATTGAAAATCCTGATCTTGGTGTTGGTTGACAACTGTTTCAAGTTCCAGATGTTCTTTATTTGTAAATATGTTGCTCTTGCTTTTCCGATCCGCGCCCTCACATCTGCATCAGATCCACCGATGATACCGCCCAGGTATGTAAAGGTTTTCACATCCTCCAAAGCTTCTTCGTCAAGTGTAATTCGATTTGTAAACGACAAACATAAAGACCATATTAATAAAAACTGAATAATAATCAAGAAAATTTATTTAAGGGTAATAGCTGATTACAGTTTAAAATTACAAAGCACTAATTTAACAAGTCAATAATAAAGAAATTTTTTCCTCAAACCGGCCTACCATTCATGGATGTGTTAAAGATAAACTTCCGCTTTGAGCCATATCATTGTTCATCTATAAATTTACTTGCTTATGTGGGGCAGATTACATTGACCACACAGAGCGATCACTTCCAAATGCATCTCAGAACACTACCCGGCATGGCTTTTAAAAGGAGAACGCGAAACAATTACTAGTTCAATACAGGAGCATCTAATCAACTATGGACACATCGCTCCAAAGGAGCCTTCTTTTAAAATAATCTACACAGTCAAAAGAAATGGATCAAAGGGAGGTCGGATCAAAATCTTATGCGCTGGTGAAGCATTGACAATCCACTAACTCAAGCCCGAACTTTGCGTGTAAAAGCAATACGTCCAACCTCTTGACCTTCCTTGACCCTAATTTCCTTTTGTAGTTTGATTCGATTTTTTCATTTATGATTATTATTACTGATGTTTTAAAGGTAGTGTCTGATAATTTTAAAATGTAATCAGTTACTAATACCCTTAAACAATTTTTTTAATTATTATCCAGTTTTTATTATTATGACCTTCATGTTTGTCATTTTTCTTCATATCTGTCAATTGGACAATAATCTTTCATATGCCAGACCCGCAAATTATTGCTAAGTAAAGAAGGCTGAAACTCGGAGTTAATCTAGGTTTTATAATGCTGCGTGTTATGATAGATTTGTTGGGAGCTATGTATGTTCATTTCGCCCCTTACACTATTCAACTATAGTGATATAATTATGATTTTGAGTAAACTCATTTCTTTCTTCAATTGAAATCTGTGCTGTATGTCATTGTAATAAGAAAACTTTGTTATTTTATTAAATTTGTTGTTCAGTCTATGTACTGATATATTTGTCTTTTGTGCATAAAAAATAAGGGTTTTCAATTGGAGACCCTGTTTCAATAGTTGTCGGTGTTATTACAATAAATGCTTTCTAATTATACTTTTTTTGTCAAGTGCTACAGTATGTCGGACAATTAGTGTTTTTGAATTTGTTGTCGTAGTGTGTCTAAATATCTGAAATGACATGAACCATTGCACTATGAGACGCCAATTCGTGTCTTCACTTTTATAGGTAGCGGGTGATAAGGTTTCATAACCTCATGAACTGATCAATCATTTTAAATAATACTTTCTGCTACACGTCAATATTGTTCTTTGAGCATTTTTACCTCATGTAACAAATACGTTAAAAACCTCACTGAAAACTTACAGTCTAGTCATTTTCTTTTAGTTTTTACAAAATTGATTCAGGGTGTAACTTTTCTAAAGCTAGATAATGGTTGAATGTTTCTTTTACTCTGGAATTCAGTTATGAATTCTATCAATTCTAGGCATAAAAATTAAAATGCAACACAGTAACGTTTGTGTGTTTATATACTGGACTTGGAACCACATTTTTTTCATAGAGATTTATGACACCAAAATATCTCTTAGGCTAATGTAAATAGAATAGCACCCGAGTATACATCTGTATAATAAGGGCCTGCTGTAAAGAAATTCTTCTAAACACATACATTAATTTGTATATCAAACATGAATTTGTCTCAGTGTTTACCTGTTTGTCTACTTAGGTTGTTTGCCAAATAATTTTTTTATATACCCATCCATAGCCTAGTCCAGTGCAGATTATCAGAATGAATTACTGGTTTATTAAAATTTCGCATAAACCTAATTCACACTGTTTGAAGTGGTTGTAAAGTGAAATAAAACAAAAATAGTATGTTTGGGAAATACGACAGGTAATTCGTTGGCAATTAAGTGTGTTCAATTTTTATGCAGTTTAATAGAAAAAGATGATTTCTATCCATCGGTCTTTGACCTAGATTCGCATTTAGGTAATGTTAATTGTAAAGGGACGCGACACAGGTTTTCTCGATTATTTCTAAAGCTTCAGGATAGTTAGTTAAAACTTGAGGTTACGTATGAAATTCTAGATTAAAAAGCTTTAATCCAGTTCTTAACGTACTGGGTTTTCAATTATCAGACTTTAATTTTGAACTCAGCTTCATGTACCTTGTTTTCAACTACCAATTATTACCCTCAGCTCATAAAAAAGTGTGGATAAAAGGAAGTACATGGACTTGTGTTTGGTTACCACGTTACCTTATTGGGATACTGTACTTCGTTGAAAACTGATTTTCATCTTGCCATTGAGTTAAGCGAATTCTGAACCTAGTTAGTACTTGAGAAACAGTGGTTTGGTGGTAAAGCATGTGTTTTTCGACCGCAGAGTCACAAGTCGAAAACTCTCCTCACCTGCCTTGGTTTGGTCAGCTAAGTCAGATCATTAACCCGCATCCAAAAAGTAGGACTCAAAGGCAGTTGCATAAAGATTATTTTAATTATGGGGATTATATAGTTGCTTTCAAGATTCTTTTTTCAAAGTAGTAAATGTTTACACCTCCCAGTTATACTAGTGAACAGAGAAAGTATTCTTTGCAGGATTTGGTATGTTCGTGTAACTATTACGGTCATACTTTTCAATCGAATTTGTACGTTGTCAAGTGGTCAACCTTAATTCAATTTATTCACTAACTTATTTGATTTAAACGCCTATCCTTACTATCGTCTCTGTCATTTCGCACAGTTAATCAAACTCGTCTTCAGAATTTAGGTGAATAATATTCTTTGATTTGGGTTTTATGTAGCTGTAGCTCCTCTGGGGGTTACTGCCGGTCTCAAGCCCGGGTAAAGGAGGAGGGTTGGGCATGGGGTTAGCGACCTCATCCCGTAGAAAATCAACTCGCTAAAAAAACGCTAACCAGAAAAATATACGGAGCATTTCGCATGCTATTGGGACTAAAGCTGCAAATTGAAAAGTCAGTTCCGTTTATTTTCTCTTTTAATGCACTTAATGCAGTCGGTTATCGCAAGTTTAGTAATTTTGAAATGGGATACAATTATTGAGTAAATTTAGACACATTTAATGTATGAATGATATTTGAAATGCTAAATATTCAATAATTAACAATGTGTATGTGGATTACCAACTAACATACCTTTCTATATAATCACCTTACTTTATCTTTTAAACAAATGAGATTGGTTAATATCATAGTTTTCATGTAAAAACTATATTGAGACAGAAAAATCAAAAGAATTACGCTTTAAACGACATACTATTGTAAGGTAACTATTAGCATCTCAGCTAGACTTTTTGTTTTCATTCTTAAACCATAAAATTTGTATTTTTTTTTCATTTATCGCATTAATATTTTCTATCATAAATTCTGTTAGATATACGAAATTAGAGAATGCTTGTGACAGGATGGAAGCTACTTTACTGTGGGGTCACTTAGCACCTACTTGTCCTGATACACTGGGAGGATATCCGATGATCAACGTCGATCCACTTCTTCTCCGTTCATCTTCCACTTCATCTGCCCAAAACTTTAGTCCTGACTATCCTGACATCTATGTAGCTGGTTGTCAGTCTGAAGATCAACCATCTTGGAGACGTGCTCGATTAAAGTGGAATGAAGAGATAGATAAAAATAACTGTGGCTGCTTATTGGTATCCGTACCACGTTTTGATTTGACTTTCTCTCTCGTACTTATCAACTTAAAATCACTTGATTGTCGTGTAGTTCGTTTTGATTCAAGTTTGTTAGATGAAGAAAATTATTGATAAGAGTATAAATATGTCGTCTTGCTTTTGTATGATTGTTAGCATTTTTTAAGTAACCTATATGTGCTACTAACTCAATATTAGAGTATTTCACGATGTTCATTCCTTTCGATCGCCTGCAGAAATTTCGATGTTTGTAGGTATCATTACCAAGTTTTGATTTGATAATTTTGAATAAATTGAGCATTGAGTAGATTGTTGTAAATAAATAATATATTTGTAATAGCCCAATGAGTAGAAAAATTAGGTTATTTTCTGAAGAAGTGGCTTACACTGAGTCCAGAAACGTCAGAAAATCTAATTTTTCTACTCATTGGGATATTACAAATTTATTATTTATTTTCGATGTTTGTTGAGAACTTTTCACGTATACTCTTTTGAGGGTTACCAAATGTATCGATTTTTAGCACAAACCAAGAATTTCACTTAAAGAGAAGTCAAAAGATTTTGAAATAAATATTGAAAGATAAAATTCTATCACATGGTGACGTACTCAAGGATTTGTGGCTGTACGACATCTGATATCAGGTTACTCACACTGATATGGTGAGCCAATCAGAAATAGCCAGATAAGAAGGCCAATCGATTGCAGTCAGTGACCTGAAGAACAAGTGCACTTCACTGGCTAAAAAATGGATTGATCCCTTAAACGGTAGAAGTGCATGTATATAAATTTCTTGTCCACTCTTAGGACATAGTGTATTTTTTCAGATTCCCCTAAACTGACATGCCTCATGTAACATTGTTATTTGAGGACAAATTATTATATAGGAAACACCACCTCAAGACTCTTCGGATAATAGCCCAGGCTTTAGTGAACCAGAACTCTTCGCAAAGACCGTTTAAGATGTGGGTAATACCAGAATGTGCGTTCTGTAAATGATAGTGCATGACAACCAAGTAACTAACTGCTAGGAAGTTTATACGGATATTTGCTTTCGAATGGCAACCACGACAATTGAAGTCGTCTCTCTACTACGAAGGAATTAAGATTATTTATCGGGTATTTACGCGCAATACTACTCATTACCTTACTAACAGATATTAGATGGAGTTCCATTTCCTTATTTGTAACAGTTTCATCTGTTCCTCTTCGTTTTTCTTGTTTTTCGTGTATGTTACTGTGCTCGTCTATATGCTCCTTACCGTCTCCATCTCTATAGGGTATAAGATGATTTGAACTAATATAATTTTATTCTGTTTCGCACTATCAATATCTGCCAAGAACTAATTGTCTTCCGTCCAATTTCATTATCATATTGTGGACAAACTGTTTGCATATGTCGATTATTCTCATCATTTTGAACCAGGTCTAACAATTACTAAATTGGTCTAAATAATTTCCCGTGGGTATTTCTTGTACTTTACCCGAAAACAAATGGACTAAAACAAGGTTCTCGTCTGAATTTGACCAGTCACTATCGTTCTGCCACAGAAAATTCGTTCAGTGAAACCACTCATTTGGCTTAATGCTGTCATCTAACGACAATCCACACGAAGAATGATCCACGGGGTTTTGTTTACTGTTAGCATATCTCCATCGGCAGTTCGTGAGTCATTGGTAATCTGTCCCTTACAAATCTCTCAAATATTTTGGTTGTGTTACTTATACAATGAAATACGATTAATGAATCCGTCCAATAAGTGACAGAAAAGATAGGGATACGCAATTGTTGTTCCATGTGTTTTCCAATATAATCACACAGTAAAGCAGCTGTTAATTACATTTTACAAGTGGTTGTAGGTTTCAGTGGGGCAACCCTGGACTTAACTAATAGAAGGGAACACTGAACTTGACGCGAGACATCTTCAAAACGAGTTTACGCCAAAGCACTATATGCGAATTCTGAGGCATCGGCAAAGCGATGAATTTGAGTAGTCAGCGATTTGTACGGGACATGTGGGAAGTAACAGTTCACTTAGGTACCTCATACCTCTGAGCCAATAGTCCCATTTGCAAAGCACTTCTTTGGGAGATCTGCGTCCCATACCAGGTTTTGCCGGCAAGTATTCTGAAAAACTAATTTAATTGGTAAAACAACCAGAGCTATAAACCGAACTGGGTCCAATATAGGAGCTACGTATCATAAAATGACCATATATGTAGGGGTCGCATCTAATTCACGCACTCTGAAGCAGATTTTATCCGTTCGAACACCCCACTCTAATTTTAGAGCCCTTTTTATTTCTTTCCATAGATAAACAGATGTCTACTTTTCTTCCCCTGAAATAAGCTTCATTAATTCAATGTCGTTGCTGGCCCACTTGGTCAGTTAAAGCCCCCTTAGATATAAGATTTCCTTAAACTGAGAATATATTAATTTAGCTTCTTTTAATGTATCAACACTGGCTAATAAATCGTCAACGTAGAACTGTCTGTATTATACATTTGGGAAACAGCCTTGTTATCTAAGATAGATCTATGTAGAGCAAACGTAGCGCAACTAGATGAGGAGGTCGCCTCAAGCAAGCCTACTTTCATCCTATAGGCTTCTGGTCAAGTTCTTATGTCGTCCTGTGGTGGGATGATCACTTGACGAAGTATAACTCCAGTGTCTGCCATGAGATCTATTAGTCACCGAGAAAATATGGTGAAGACATCTACCAGATTATTGACTAGATCTGTTCTGGAATACAAGCTTTTATTCAGGGATGTCCCGAAGTACCGCTCTGTACAGTCGAATACGATCCTTAGCTTATTAAGCTTCTTCGAGTAAAAGATCGGGTGTTGTCGTTAGTACTGAGCTCAATACTTAATGCAATTCTCTGTAGCCTTTTCGGCATGGCCAAGTTCAACATATTGTGTCATCACATTATCATACTCCTTGTGCAATTTCTGTTCACGGATGAACCGGGTTCTTAAAGAATTTAATCTACTCGTTACTAGCTTTCTATTATTAGGTAGGCTTTGTTGGTGACGCCAGGGAGAAACTATCTTGCAATGCCCGTTTATTAACTATACAGATTTAGATATGGCGTCCAGGGTTTTATGCTCTTCGACCGACATGAGCTTACGATGATTCAGGACTTCTTCAAAATCCATCTTATATAAACGGTCTAATCTAGATCCTAATTCAGCTTTCCCCAATAGATTATTTATGATACCCACATATTACGTGGTTTCACTGTAAGGTCCAAACAACGTCCACCCTAAAGGAGTTTTTGTAGCATATGGCTAGCTAGATTTCCAAACTCTATTTCATGTGCCTCAGGTACATTGCACCCTATCACCACTTTGTTGTCAAATCTTGGGAAGGTCATACAGTGCAAGTAGGATCACCATGTCACCTGGGATGTCGTTGCCACCTTCCTACTTAGCATACGCAATCTCTCGACTGTCTATACCTTTGCAATCCTGAGTAATGAAGAAGGGTTCAAAGAGGAAACTTCAAGTCGAGCCTCTTCACAATGAAATGTGAACTAGCGATCCAGCTTTTTCAATAAGGGCGTTTTGAACTCTCCCTCTAAACCCAGCCTTATTATTATTCACAAACATCATATGAGCACATAGGTGCTGTGAAGAGACCATTTCGGGTTTCCTTAGAAGTGCAATAATACACAAGTTTCAATAATGTTAGCATCATATTTGCGAAAGGAAAGAAATAATAATAAGTCAGGTTCTGTGTAATTGAGAAGAATATTTGATTAATTTTCAAGAAGGAAAAGAAGAAACTAAGGAAATAGAAGTAAATGAGACCTAGTTTCTTGTTTGGAGGTATTGGTGATCCATTGCTAATAGACACAACCATTTGAAATACGTAAATAGCTTAATAAGCTTGTTTATAAACACAGAACAACAATAAACGACTATGTATGTATCGTCAAATAAGTAATAAAAATAAAGCAAAATAAATTAATATGTAAATAGCTTATTATTGTAGTCAGATATGACGTTAGAATAAGTGTTTGTACAGTCATAGTTTGGAGTGATGCTATGAAAGTCTCAATTAAGTGCAAAGAATAATCAATATGTATGAGCCGTATATTGTGATGTTTAGGAGTATTTGAATTATGAAATAAACTAGTAATCCCAACAATAACGCAATTTAATCAAGAAGTATTAAATGAGCACGAACCAATGTACTGTATTATGAATTGAAAGTGAAAACAGTCATCAATACAAGGGAATTACTGGTTCATTCAAACACCACATCCGCCACAGCTTAAATGAGAAACCAAATTCCCGCGACCAGTCGTACCTCTTTAGGTTCATCACGTGTCTACCCAATTGTGTATTAGATGTAGACTCTGTACAATCTAGAATATACTCATTAGTATTAGAATTAACAACCGAAACTGGAACAGACTCACCTGATTCCTGGAATTGCATACAATCATCATGTCGGTTGTGTAGTGAAACCAACCAATAAAGCGGAAAATGCATTGGAAAATAAGTCGTAAATAAAGAGGAAATGCGCCAAAATGTCTGCTTTTTCGCCTGTCCGGGGGAAATAAAGCGGAATCTCCCCTTTCTGTCGCTCTGTTTTTCAAATGTCGCTAAATCTCCGACTTTTCCCCTAAATATCCGACGAATTTCCGATTTTCACCCTAAATATCGGACGAATTTCCGACTTCTACCTCAAATATCCGCTACATTGACTACTTTTCCACTACATACACACTAATGCATTTACCGCAACCGCCTCCTGTGTTCGCTTTCATTCCCACAACACAGCACACGAGTAATGTAAAGTACGTAAAATACAGTATAATTTCCAAATTTTTTATTGAAAACAAAAAGTTCTTCAATGTACAAAGTTATGAGCAGTTGGCAGATGGTAGAGTACCAATGCTCAATATGTAATTGTCATTGTCACGGGCCAGGCATTTCACGTATTCTTTCTTTCCACCAGGCCTGTTGGACTATGGAGAGTCAAACAATTCTTGTGAATTCTAAAATGTGATGAAGAAAAACGTTATTGAATCTAGGAAACTTGTTTTGCACAACAAGGTACTTGAAGCTGATCTTACGGTAATATCCTTGAACACGGAAGACTGTTCCTATAGATAATGCAAAAACAGTAATCACTTTAAAGCCGTACATACGTGTTCTTTGTTCCGTCGATGACGCTTCTGGACTTTGTCTCTCATGTCGTGGAAATAACTTTGCGTAGCCATGTTATATAACTCCGCCTGTAGCTCTTCTAGAGTTACTGCCG